TTTTACATACATACATATATATATATGTATGAATTAATAAACATATAAATTAAATATAATTATAATAAATTCAAAAAACAAAGTTAAATATAAATATAAATATTTACGTAATATAAATTTATATACATTATATTACATTTATATTTATATTTAGTATATTTGTATTTAATTTGCATGCTTGATTATTCATAAATGGAATTAATTAATTAAAAAACAAAAAAAACCTAATAAAATCTATTTTCAGTATTTGGAATCATTTAGTGCAAATAACCAAAGATGGCAATAAGACCGTCATTATCACTACGCATTACATCGAAGAAGCTCGACAAGCTCACACGGTAAGAAAAAAAACAAACAAACAAACAAAATATTAAATAAAAATAACATAAATAACCATACAATAATAAATTTTAAATAAATATTATTATTAGGTCGAGTCATAAGTAACTTCCGATGCGTCTATGTAGACTATGTATAAATCTATTTTTCGTATTTACCTACTATAAGTCACCGAAACAAACGAATTTTTGATATCACTGTATAAATGAGGATTCAGTTAGTCTTCTGTTAACTTTTTTATGTAATCAATGTTACATTTAACAGTTTTTCTTAACTTCTCAAATGAATAGTAAAAAGTGCATATTCAACATTTAATGCTTTAGAAATTGAAACAAGGCAATAGCACTAAAGTGGCAACTGAAAAAAATATGCAGCGTATACGGTGCAGGATTGATAACTAATAGGGTTAGTCAGAAATTGGTTTGTAAAATTTCATTCTAGAGATACGACCTTAAAAGACGAACCGTGTGCAGGACGTCTTTTCAACTTTGACGAACCTTTTAAAGGTAATATTGAAGCAAAATTCAATAAATACGTCCAACAAATACAAAGAGTGCAACACAAAACACCATGAAAAGTGTCGTGCACTTGTTAATGGCAGAAATTCTTTGCAGCTATTCTTTGTCTCATTAAAAAAAACGGAAGTTATTTATGATTCGACCTAATACATGAAACTTATGAATATTTATTAGAATATGAAGAAAATATGATATATTATCTTTTTTTATGCACGTTCTTGTTATCAGATCAATTATTTCGTATTCCACGTTTCCTTATTTCAATTTTTTGTTTGTCTGTTATTATTTAAAAGTATTGAAAGATATTGAAATGTTGAAAGATGTTGCAATACTTGTATAAATGAACAATTTTGCTATGATCAATCAATCAGAAAATAATAACGTATGAAAACACGTTTATTGAATTGTTTATGGTAATTAAACAACGTACTATTGTGTGAATCTTATTAGAGATATCCTAATTTATAATTAAATATAAATGTAGTATCATCTTTTTTATAATTTATCAAAGATCTCTTTTTATACACTTGAGACATATATAAACAGTTTTATACGAATACATATGTGTATGCGTTCATATAAGCAGAGACACTATTATTCAATATTGTTTACGATCATTTCAAGTAAATCTATCACCTTGAATATTAAAAAGAAATTTTTTTTCTATGAAAAAAAAATTGCTCAGATGTACGATCTAATAAGACAGTGGCAATGATATGACATGTAAGAACACATGTTATACAATTGGCATTTAATTAGCTTTTCTCTCTTTCTATATATATATATAAAATACATAATATATAGTAAAATATATTTTCTACTCTATAATTATGTTAATATAAAAAAATTATATAATAACAATTATTTATTATTATCAAATCAAATTAATGTTACAAGTAAATGTAAAAATATATATATATAGATGTATGTAATTTTTTTGTGTTTTTTTTTTTTTAACACGGTTTTGCTGGAAACGTGGACGAAACGTAACATAATTATATTTTGTAATCACATTTATTTATATATTATATTATTTTATTTTAATATTTATTCTATTTAAATACAATTAAATTAGTACTAAATATTATTTAAATTAATTAGATTATTTTGCTATTAAAAAAAAATACATATATATATAATATTTTATATTTATTATTATTTATTTATTATATTAATATTTATTATAATTAAAATATAATATATATTATAATATAAATTATTATAAAATTATATATATTTATATAATAATATT